ACATTGGGCTCTCTGCTCAGTGGGGAGCCTGCTTCCTCCTCTCTCTGCCTGCCTCTCTGCCTACTTGTGATCTCTGTCTGTCAAATAAATAAATAAATCTTAAAAAAAAAAAGAAAAACTGTTAAAACCATATGATTTCACTCATATGTGGAACTTAAGGAAACAAATGAACAAAGGGAAAAAAGAGACAAACCAGAAAAAGACTATATATTACTATATAGAACATATATAGAACAAACAGATGGTTACCAGAGGGTGGGTGATTGGGGGGATGGGTGAAATAGGTGAAGGGTATTAAGAGTAGACTTTTCTTTCTTTTTTTTTTTTAAGATTTTATTTATTTATTTGACAGACAGAGATTACAAGTAGGCAGAGAGGCAGTCAGAGAGAGGAGGAAGCAGGCTCCCTGCTGAGCAGAGAGCCCAATGTGGGGCTCGATCCGAGGACCGTGGATTCATGACCTGAGCTAAAGGCAGATGCTTTAACCCACTGAGCCACCCAGGTGCCCCAAGAATGGATTTTTCTTGATGAGCACTAATATATGGAATTGTTGAATCACTATATTGTACACCTGAAACTAATTAATGCTATGTTAACTACACTGTAATAAAAATAAATAAATAACCATTAAAATAAGATTCTGGAATAGATGGTTATAGTATCACCTCCTGAGGGTAGCTCTACACTGAGGAAGGAGGTATTTGCCTTCAGAGTTCCTTCTTTCAGCACAAGGAAACACATACTGTGGCTAGTGTCAGCTTAGTCACTACTGAGACACAGGGTGGTGATTGCTAAGAATTTAGGTGTGTGAAGTGCCTCCCCTGAGATGCCATGAGCTTTGCAAGAGTATTTAGTAATAATGGATACTAAGATTTACTCTTTGCTTCCGTGGTTTGAAGAAGCTAGTCTTTGTGGGTTTGATTCTTTAAGATGGAATATTAATTTTTAAAAATGCTAAAGATCTGTGTATATTGTGTCATTTTCATATATTCATAACTGAGAACTGACTTCTCAGTTTCCATTTCCATAATTTTCTCATGTTTCATACAACTTACTTTTTAAAAAGATCTATTTATTTTAGGGAGAAAGAAAGAGAGCCTGTGAGCATGGGGAGAGGCAGAGAGAGAAAGAGAGGGAGACAAGCAGACTCCCTGCTGAGCACGGAACCTGATCCCAGGATGCTGAGACCATGACTTGAGCTGAAACAGAGTCAGGCAATTAACCGACTGAGCCACCCAGGCACCTCTTGATACAATTTTCTTTTAAGGGCAAAGAGAGTTGTTCTCTTAAAACTACACATTTTGATCATGTTCTACTCCTCTCTAGAAGCTCTCTTTCAGGGTTATCTTCAGATTAGAATGTCTGAAAGTATGCATCAAGGCTTTCCAGCATTAATCCAGATTACTTACCATTCCCTCTCCCAAACCTACCCTTTGTTTCTATCTATTAAGGGAAGTTTATCCTTTGGAAATTGTACCCTTCTCTCTAAAGCATAAGATTCACATTCTCTGTGAAGTCTTTCTTGATAAACCTCATTTGGTTTGGTGTAAGCCCCCCACTGTCCTAACCACCCCTCAGCATCCACGTTTACAGACCTCTCCAGCATTTGAAATTTATTCTGCATGTTTTATGAGTCTGTTACTATGTAATTGCATACTTTCATTACCCTATTTTTTTCTTCTGACTCACCTTTTCAACTAGCCACCCCCTCAAGGGAGGCATTTGGTATCTTTAGAGCCTTTAATAAGCTACATATAATGACCCCATAGGTAAAGAAGAGGATGCATATCATCAGGGCAGATCAGGGAAGCCAGTTAGAATGGTGAACTGGAAAAAGACATCAAGAAAGTAGGTAAGGATAGACGATAGAAAGATACTGCCCCGTATTGAGACCATCTGGTTACATGCTTATAAGTGGGTAACTGACAGGATCTTTCCCCTGAGAGGTATACTAAGGTCTTCCAGCAGCAAGGTGGTATATACATGCCTTGGATTAGGATACAATGACCAGTTCTGTAAAAGGAAGCAGTGGTCTTCAGTCCAATTTCAAACTCCTCCACTGATTCACTGACTGTCCGATTGTGAACATCTACCTTGATTCCCCAGTGTTTAATTCTTTTTTTTTTAAAGATTTTATTTATTTATTTATTTGACAGACTGAGATCACAAGTAGGCAGAGAGGCAGGCAGAGCGAGAGAGGAGGAAGCAGGCTAACCCAATGTGGGGCTCGATCCCAGGACCCTGGGATCATGACCTGAGCCGAAGGCAGAGGCTTTAACCCACTGAGCCACCCAGGCGCCCCTCCCCAGTGTTTAATTCTATTTGCAAAATAGGTATTTTCAATTTTTTCACTCACTCTCTAGCTGATCTCATCGAGCTCAATAGCTTTAAATACTTCTCTCTTGAATTTGAGACTCATAGACCTATTCACTTACACCACGTCTTCATTTGGATGTGTCTCTTGGACATCTTAGACTCAATATAGCCCAAACCAAACCTTGATTCTCACCCCTCAAGCTGCCTCCACCCTATTTCAGTAAATGGCAATTCCATCCTTCTAAAAACCCTGACTTTGACTTGTACCTCACACTTCATATACAATCTATCATCAATTCTGTTGCTCTACCTTCAAAATATATCTACAATACAACTATTTCCCACCAACCCTACAGACACTATCTTGGTCTAGGCCTACATCATCTTCCACCCAGATTATCACAACAGTTTCTTAACTGTTCCCCTGGCTTCCATTCTCAACTCCTTATAGTCTGTCTATAAAGAAGCTAGCCTGCTCACTTCAAAAGGAAAGCCATACCATGTCACACCTTTACTTAAATTCCTCCACTGACTTCTCCTCATTCTAAAGAAGAACCAAAGTTCCTCATACGGAATTCAAAGCTCACTAGTTTTATTACACATCTCTTTGATCTCATCTTCTAACACACTCCCTCTTGTTTATTCAGCTCCAGCCACAAAGGGTTCCTTCCTGTCCCTATGTCAACCACTTTACCTAATTAGCATTCTATCCCACCATCACTCTTCACCAATCCTGCTTTATTTTCTAAAGAGCACCTACCATTACATAACATATTTATTTTTCATCTTGTTCCACTAGAATGCAAACTCCATGACAGCAGAGGTGTTGTCTGTTCTGTTCATTGCTTTCCCCCAATACCTAGAATAGTGCTCCTCTGTGTAGCAGTAATAATTTCCAGGTATGAAATTCAAAGGATTTTTCACTTCATTGGAGACAAGCAAGCAAACAAAAACCTATTTTGGTTGCTCAGATGATCTTAAAATAATCAAAATACTTCTAGAATGAAGCTAGATTCCACAGCATCCATCAGGATTTACAACTGTAGGAAATGATGAATGACAGTGTTCAAATACGCAAGCCTTTCAGATGCATCAGAATCACAAGAACATGGCAAGAATCACGTGCCCAATTAAATGAATATTCTTGGTACGTATTCACCAGCTCGTAAACAGATGTTGACCCTGAGCAGACTGTCCTGATGACTCTGCTAGGAAGAAAGGAGTGACATCACTGGAGAACCTCAAGGCATATGCTCAGGCAGGTGACACACACGCACACACCGCCTAGGCTGTCATTGCTGAAATCCATGCTGACTGCCAAAGAAACCTGTCTTATGACCAACTCTCAGAGGAATTCTCCCAGCCTGACGATCACCTCTAACTCCTCTGCAGTTAAGGTTATGGGGTCTCTCTGTGATCAGTGCTATGTTACGCTCCTCAAATGCATATTTGTGATACCTTTTCTTGTTTAGTCAAACACTTATTCATGAAAAAAGGAAGGAAATAGAATTTGTTTAAATTCAGTTTCTAGGTCCAAGGCAACCTATTAGGGCTGTCTCCAATACTGAAGCCCCGGTTGTCATCAGTACCTCTCTCCACAGTCCCCTCAAACTACTTACTCTCTGTATTGCGCCCCCAACCTATTATCACCCTAAGCAATACTCCCCAAACTGTCAATGCCTCAAACAGATTCCTCCTGCCATCACCAACCACCAGAGACCCCTCTTCTGTCATTCATACCTCCAGAATTCCCGCCGCACCGAGACTTCCCTCAAGAAAGCCCACTATGAAAGCGCTATCCTATCAGCCATACCCCCAAACTCCTCTTCCTGTTACCAACGTCCACCGAGCCCCGACTCCTGTTACCAGCTCCCGACATCCCCTTCCCGGTCACCAAAACCCTTAAAGACAGCCCTGTAGTGAACGTCATCATCCCCACTTCTCCGCGGTAGCCCCTCTTGGAGCCGTCTCCTGCCCCGCCCCTTTACGTGTGGCCTCGCCCCCCGGCGCGCGCCCCCCGAAAGGCGCCGGAAGCCCCGCCCCCGGCCGGTTGCTAGGCTCCGGCAGCCGGAAGTCCCGCCTGTCGTGTAGTCGCAGCCGCCGCCGCCGCCGCCGCTGCCGTCGTTGTTGTTGTGGTTGGTTCGCTGAGCTCCGCGGCTCCGAGAGCCGGCTTCATCCCTTCCCAGCCGCCGCCATGAAGTGGATGTTCAAGGAGGACCACTCGCTGGGTAAGGGCTTCCTGAGAGACCGGGTGGTGGGCGGGTCAGGACGGTGGGTGGGCCCCCTCCCCCACTCGGGCCGCCTTGGGCTGGACCGGGAGGGGCGGATGCCGCGCTCCGGCCTCGGGTCGCTGAGGCCTCGGCGCCTCCGGCGGCTGCCCACGGATCTTGTCCCGCCCTTCGCCCTTCTGCCGGGAGGCAGGGGCCGAGGGCCGAGGCCGCTGAGACTCCGGAACAAGGGCCCCGGGGCGTGCGCAGGTCGCTGGGGGAGGAGGGTTGGGGACCTGGGAACCTGAGGTCGGGCAGGAGCGACCACCAGTCGGTCTATGTCTCCCACAGAACACAGATGTGTGGAATCTGCGAAGATCCGAGCGAAATATCCCGACCGGGTTCCGGTGAGTGCACTCCCCGCCCCCTCACCTCGCTGTCACCCCGTCGTTTAGGACTCGTGATAAGGCCCCGGGCTATTCAACAGTTGACAAGTTGAGGTTCCAGTCCCAGTTATAGTAGCAGACAGGCCAGACTGGGTTAGGGGCCTTCCGGGTCCGTGGCGTGAGGGGCTTGAGCTGGTGCTGTTCAGGGTGTCTCAGTGCTGAATCTCCTGATCTAGGCCAGTGAGCTGTCTGCAGCCTCTGGGCTCCCTCGCCAATTATGTAAGGAACGATGTTCTAGGACAGGGCAACAGGTCACTGCCACTTTTGGGAACAACGGTGGAGGTAGACTGTCACTTTGGTCTTAGAAGTGGTACTTTAGTCTCAGGACACTCATCTTTAACTTTGAGCCTCTATCTTTGCTTGACTTCTGGCTTCCTTTCCTCACCAAAAAATCTGAGAAGCCTCTGAGAACCCTTTCTCTAGTTTCTCCTTAATCAGTAATAAATATGATCCTATATTTCTTCTGTGGTAGGGGGTAAGTTTCTGTAATCCTTAACTGATTTTTAAAGGACATCCATGCCTGTCATTGTAGCTCATTGTTTGAACAATTCCTTTGAGGAGGGATCAGGAGGGACACATTTGAAACCTAGTTCAGGGAGAAGCAACAGGCCAAATGAGGAGCTTGGTTCTTGGCTGTCTGGGATTGCCACCCATTCCTATTAGGCCTTCCTTTCCCGTTTCCTGTGTTCCTTGGGATCTTCTCCTCTGGTGTGAAGACAGATCCATTCTGGGGTCCTGGAGTAACTGGCTGTAGATGAAACTGTTACCAGATAGTCTCAGTTCTGCCCAGACTAAGTGTTGAAAAGCTTTGTAGTAAGGGCTGTGTTTCTCTTATGCTTGCTGAGATCCAGGATGATAAACATAATTGACCACAGAAAAGCACTTTCTGTTTCTGTATCATACATTTATGTCAGTTCTTAACCTCCAGAGTTAAGAGTTTGTGGTTTATTAAATCAGGGGCCTATTTTCCAGTGTTGTGCAGTTTCCCACCCACCTCCTTGCCCACATACTATTCATCAGCTCCCTGTCAAGGCAAGGCCAGAAGAACACAGGGCTAGAGCCTCACTTTAGAAATCCAGTCCTGATCTCTGTTTGCTTTCCTAGGTGATTGTGGAAAAAGTCTCAGGCTCTCAGATTGTTGACATTGACAAACGGAAGTATCTGGTTCCATCTGACATCACTGTGGCTCAGTTCATGTGGATCATCAGGAAAAGGATCCAGCTTCCTTCTGAAAAGGCAATCTTCCTGTTTGTGGATAAGACAGTCCCACAGTCCAGGTGAGAGGTGTTTACTGGCATTGGCCATCTGCTTGGCTGTTTACAGAACTCTAAATTTTGGAGGTCAGAAAACTCTTAGAGGTCCTGACTGGAAGTCTGGATTTTGTGCTCCCTGACATGAGGAGTTCGAGGAAAATAAGAAAGGGCTGTAGTGCATGGGAATGTACTTTGGATCAAGAAAATAGAACAATGGGGCGCCTGGGTGGCTCAGTGGGTTAAGCCTCTGCCTTCAGCTCAGATCATGATCTCAGGGTCCTGGGATCGAGCCCCACATCGGGCTCTCTGCTCAATGGGGAGCCTGCTTCCCCTGTCTCTCTGCCTGCCTCTCTGCCTACCTGTGATCTCTGTCTGTCAAATAAATAAATAAAATCTTAAAAAAAAAAAATTGATCAAGTTTGGACTTAAAAAAGAAAAACCTGAAATCTAGCCTCAGACCCTCACGAATCCTTTAAAACAGTTGAGGATTTACTTAGGCTTAAGCCATCAGTAGAACTGAAGCCTAAAATGAGGTTTTCTTCAAATGACCCATGAAATAAGTCCTGCCATTCTCCACTGGGAGCCTGTGGGCCCTGCTGAGGCTCGGCTCCAGTTAATCATCCTGCCACTGGCTCTCCAGACCTAGTTCTGTGCCCTTGTGCGAGCCGAGCCCATAGCTGCCTGATCCTCAGGTATGTTGGAATGGCTACTGTCCAGCAGAAATTCCCCAGGGTCTCTTTATAGACTTACACCTCCCTCGTACCACCTGCTCTGAATGTCAGAGTCATTGCTTCTCATCTTGGAGACCCAAACTAAGCCTCATTTGTTACTCCTCCAAAGTAGTACTTCTAAGGCTTTCAGAAGCCCAGGGAACGAGGCCCATGTGGCCAAAATATGTTTCCTTTGAAAACCCTTGAAAGCTCCAGAAAAGGTGTAAGCCAAATTCCAGTCCTTTTCCTATGAAAAGTAGAGAGCTCTGGCTATTTTTTGGTCTGAGTTTTGCTTTCCCAGTCTCAACTACCTCCATTTCCTGTGTTTGGCAGAGAAGCAGGTCAGGGGAGAAATGAAATGCTCTGCCGGAGGAGGTAGGCCTCGGCCCTGCCTGCTAGGTGCCGTTGGCCTACTACAGCTATAGTTCTGGAAGCTGCGGTGTTGGCAGAGGCAGTCTTGCCGCCTGTTGGAGCTCTTCCAGCTTTCCTTCCTGGGCCTGTAGGCTTCGTGGTGCTGGGTGCACTTTTCATCAGGGTTGGAAGCCGTGGGCATCTGTGGTCACACTCAGCTTCTCTCAAGGTGGTGGGAAAGTAAGTCCTCACTCCTTCCACCTGCAGCTTCTGCAGAGTCTTGGCGACCCTGTCTTTCCTCCTTCCTGGAGGTGGCTACTTAGTAGAGGAAGTAGGTGACTATGACCTGTGGCATTGAATTTATTTTGTCAGTTCTGATCCCATGATACTTCTTAAAGGAAAGGCTTTTGGAGACATTGTTACTCTGATGGCTCCACATTAATCTAGCAATTAAAATGGCTGCAGATTAGCGACTGCCCCTCCCTCCATTATCCCTGAGCTATAAATAGAATTGGAAATGAAAGTGATTCTCAGGGCAGCAGAGGCTGCTTCCTTTTCTCTCCCAGCCCCCTTTGCCTTTCCAGGCAGCTAAGAATCAGCTCTAAAGCAGATGACACCAGTGACCCAAGTCAGGTTTTCAGAGAATGACTAACCAGGCTTGCTCTGCCCAGGCCTTTGGCCTCAGTTAATGGCTTTCTGTCCCACACTTAATGCAGCAGTTTGGTTTTATTAAGAAAAATGGTTTCTAAAGTGGTGTGTGACATCATTGGGCTTTATGCAGATGCTGATCACCTGACGGCAGCACACACATAATCACACAGGGTCTCCCGTGAAAGCTGGTGTGTGACTCAACCCTGCCTTCTGCTCCCCAAGGCACTTCAGCAGCAGCCTCTTCCTCAGCTCCTTCCAGCCTCCTTAGGGAGGTGCGGGGCCTCCGTTAACCTTCCACCAGGGCTTGCAGCCTTAGGAGAGTCTGGGGACACGGGAGTTGGGAAAGGGTGAATCCAGGCCTGCAGGAGCCCTCTCCCATCCCGTAACAGACAGAGCTGCGGGAGCGTCACGTGTGAGGTGGGAGGCGAAGCAGAGGTAACTTCAGTTATTCTTGCCTTGCAGTGGAACTTTGGGAGTGTGTTCTGGAACACAAGTGATTATCATGTAAAAATGTGGTGATCGTTTAGAGTAGTGAGTATTAAATACTGATTCTAGAAATAGAGACCAAGGCAAGTCCCTGAGAGTTTTACTTCCTGAATTCTTTCTGAGTTCTATTTTTTTTTAAAGCAGGGCTGGGGGAGGGAATCTCACTCAGCTCCCTTTTCCCATTTAGCATTGGAAAGCTGAATTCTCTGCCTAGGTTCCTGTATCCAGAATCAGCCCCAAAACAAAAGAATTGTGTCTTGGTGCACACCGAGCTTGAGAAAGACTATCAGTGTACAAGCTTCCCAGTCATAGCATTAGGGGAGAACCCAGACCTGGCAATAGTATCTGCGTTTTGGTCTTTGTTTAGAACACAGACGAGTCTTGTTAATCCCCATTTAAAATAGAAACAGTAGTATATTATTAAGTAAAATATCTCTAAGATGTGATAATTTGGGAATGTTAGTTACATTTGGAAACCAGTTTGTTTAATATTGTGGCGCTTAGTTGCTTCTTCGATTTTAAAGAGCTATTAAGTAAAAGTTGTGACATCTTACAGTCCATCCTTTATTTAGAAATGTGCTTAGATTAATCACTTTTGATCATTTCTAGGTAAACATCTCTTCAAAGGTTTATTCCCGCAGTAACAGAATAGGGTTTATTTATTTATATCCGAGAAAAATCTGACAAAAGGAAGAGCCAGTAGTTAATTTTTATTTTTCAGAATGTTGGGAGCCTTTCTGGCTACATTACCTCTCACTTCGAGGTGGTTGCCTTCCTTTCCAGGGTCCACAGCAGTGGCCATTGTCCTCCCCCCTCACCCCTGCTATCCTCCCCATCCTCCCCTGCTGGAAAGAGAGAAGTCCAGGTCCAGTGGAAGCACGTGGGCACCAAAGCAGATGGGTGTCCAGGTGTGTGCCCGTCAGGCCAGCCAATTCCTGAGTCAGGCTGGAGCCCACAGCTTTCATGACCTAACCTTGGTCAGGGGCTGCGGAGGTTCTGCAGGGCTTAGGCACCCACACACTTCTATGTCGGCTGCCCCCTCGCATGTGCTCTCGAGTAGCTTAAAGCCAGAGTTCGCCCTCAGCAGCACGGCCGTTCCTGGATGGGGACCCTTCTGAAAGGTGCCGTTGTTATTGGCTGGTTTGTCTGAATCTGGGTGACTCCGAATGGAGGGTGAGTGACCGTTTTCGCAGTCAGTTTAGGTTCATTAGACTCGGTTCTTCAGGGCCCCACCACACCTGAGATGGGTTCCGTGGCTTGAATCTGCCATTGGCTTTTCCCATCTCTTTCCTCGTCAGACTCACGAGTGTGGAAGGTGGCGGGCCTCCTGGTGCTCAGCCGCACCCTTCCGGGGTGAGTGCCTGTCCTCGCTGATGTCACAGTGGTGAGCTTTAGGGTCTGAGGTCATCTCTGCGTGTCTTCCTTAGCCAGTAACTTGGGCGGGAAGCTGTGGAGGTGCAGCGTGGCCCGCAAGTTGTCGGCCGTCCCGCAGGCCTGTGCTGCTTAGCCCGAAGGGCGCGTCAGAGCCGCCGGTACGAGCATCCTCGGGCATCCCGGCCGCGGCCTGCCCAGCGCTGTGGGGCTCGGGCTCTGTGGCCTCTGAGATGGAGGAAGCTCCTCAGAGGCTTGTGGAACTTGTCCTAAACTGACAGGCCAGCCTCCTGTTGGAGACTGTCCGCTGACTGGGGTCGCGTTTTGTCCCCCTGCACTTCCATTTAACTCTTTAACGGGACTCAAAATGTCAGCTGTGTTTGCGGCCAGCTCTTTTTGGCTCCACACCAAATTATTCGGCTTTGTATGTGTGTGGCCCGATCCCATAAGAGCTATTCTGAAATCATACCGTAAGATGTCTCGGTGTTCTCCTGTGGCACTCAGTGACTCTCAGAATCGGGCATTCGGTCCCGGGCTGCTGAATGGAGTGTGCGGCGGCTCCCCGCCGTGAGTGTCGCCACTTTCCAAGTGCCTGCCCAAGGGCTGTCCTCTGCGTGTAACACCCAGGGCTGCTGCCAGCCGAGTCAGGTTTCCGACGAGGCTGCGTGACAGAAAAGGAGAACAGCAAGAGGACTCTTAAGAGTCGTAGCACAACCAGCCGGTTGTCCCGTTACAGGATCTGAAGGAGGGAGTTGTGTGACGCGGAGGCTGGCAGCGGCTGCCTTCCTCGGACATCTGTTACAAATGTAGAGTCTCGGGCTCCGCTCTGACCTCCCGAATCCAGAGGCGCGCTGGGAGCAGATGCGCGAGTGATTTCGGGTGTGTGTGCGTGTGTGTGAGCAGCTGTGTTCTCGGGAGATCTGTGCAGAAGGTACAGGATGCCGACGTGAGGGCAGGAGGACAGATCTGCGTGTTCACTTGGAGGCGGCACGGCTTAGTGCGAAGCACGTGTCCTGGCGTGGATCATGTAACTTCCCTGTGTGTCATTTTTCTTATTGTTCCACTTCTGTTGTTCTCTGTAAACTGTGCCTTGTGATCCCTTTGAGGGTGATGTTGCCTCCGAAGACTGCCGTGAGGATAAAAAGAATAAACTCACAACAGTGCTTGGCACATAAGTCTTATAATTCGGAGTGTTATGATCCCCTCTGCAGCAGCTGGGGCACAGGTTAAACAAATGTATAAGCCCAAGTTTTACTTAAAAGACAGTGCAGTTTAGAGACAGGCGGGAGCGAGAGCCACATGGTGACTGGCCTCTGCTGGCACGGTCTTCAGGCCTGCCATAGGCAGCGAGGGGCCCTTGTTCACCACAGGCCGAGTCTGGGGTGGGCCGCCGGTATTTACATAGCTCCTCAGGTATTTCTTTCCTTTTTTTTTTTCCCCCTAAGATTTTATTTATTTATTTGAAAGAGAGGGAGAGAGAATCTGAACCAGACTCCCCAGTGAGTACAGAGCCCGGCATGGGGCTCGATCCCATGACCATGAGATCACGGCCTGAGCCGAAACCAAGACTCGGACGCTCAGCCAACTGAGCCACCCAGCCACCCCTCCTCAAGTATTTCTAATTCAGCAGTGGGATTTGGAGTATATGCACTGGGGCTTCTGACTTGCTAGGAACGGCATACTTGTCAGGTGGAACTAGATGTGACATTGGTATCAAGCGGTGGCTGCCTTTGAATTGCACACAGTCTTTTACTTTGCCTCGAAATCCCTCTGGTAATGAATGGCTTTGGGGAGATGGTGGCACAGGTGCTCACCAAGGTCATCCTGGACATGTGGATGAGGTGGGCTTCGAGAGCTGTGCAGTAGCTGTGGCTGTTTTCCCTGTCCCCTCACCCCGAGGCATCTCCGAGAAAAGCGGGAGTCCTGGGGCATTCCCAGCCAGCCGGGTGGAGGTCTTGAGAGAGGCAGGCAGCTACGTGTCAAGCCTTTGGCTGGTCGCTGGCTCCTCACGGCACTTCCTAATCACATGGCTCTTAAAGACGAGCGTGGCAGACAGACAGAAAAGACAGATGGGACGCCTGACTGGCTCAGTCAGGTAGAGCCTGCAAATCTTGATCTCAGGATCCTGAATTTAAGCCCCGTGTTGCTTGCTTAACATGAGAAAAGCAAATACATTAAAAAGAAGCACAGCTCCCTCTGGTAGAGAGACTGTTTTTTCCACCTCGCTTCACCTGGAATCATCTTGGGCAGTTTAAAAACCTGCTGATGCCTGGGCTTGAGCCTGGAGATGTCTCAAAGCTCCCCTGTGATTCTGTTGTAGAGCTGAGGCTGGGACCCACTGCTCTCCGGGGCCTCATGCTGGGGCTCCTCCCTCTATCCACCGTCCCTCAAGTCCTCACGTGCTCCAGGGCAGTGCTGTTGAGAAATGGCATGTGAGCCACATGTTCTAGTGCATTAAAAAGGAAACAGGTGAAGTGAATTATATTTCATGTATCCAGTATATCCAAAATGTCATTTCAACATGTAATAAAAATTGAGATTTTTACATCCTTTTTTCCCCAGCCTGCTTGAAATCTTGTGTATGTTTCCCATGATGTTGTTACACAATGTAACAACACATTCCAGTTCAGACGAGTCTGAGCGTGCCGCCTGGAGCCAGCGGCTACGCTACCGGACAGCCATACTGCAGGACATTTCTCTCCTAGCAGAAATAGTGCGCGTAGACAGTGCTGGGCCAGGGCGTCCTTATTTTACACATCCCAGGTTAGAGCTCGGGAGCACCGTGTTAGTTACCAGATGCTGATGACAGGTCATTTGTTCAGACTCATCCGCCCTCATGTTGTTACTTAAGAATTCTCATCTGCCCACGCAGCCAGCCGGGCCAAGCTGGCAGTTGGGCAGGAAGAACAGGAAAAGGAAAACTCCCCCTTGCTCCGTGCGGCCTGTGTCCCCGTTTACACGGAGGTCCACGCGGCCCGCTGGGAGCACACCAGCAGAGTGGGGCAGTCCCAGTTGTACCAGCTTGCGGCCCTACCCCCCTCTGTCACCCCGTGGCCCTTGTTTTACTGAGTCCTGCTTATAAGCTGCTGTTGTGGCCTGTGCAGCTAGTGACCTGTGCCGTCTTTGGCTGGCTGTCAGACTGCTGTCTCACTGGTTCTCGGTGACCCCACGTGCGGGGGCACACTGACGCTCAGCACACATCTGTGCCGCCTGCTGTTCTCATAGTGCAGTCACGTGGCCACAGCTCTCCTGGGGTTCCCCGTGGTACTAGTCTTAACTCTGGAGCCTGTACAGCTCAGATCCGTGGCAGAGAATAGATTAGGTCTCCTGTACTGCATGCGGTCTGTTTTACCGCTTAGGAAGACCAGCTTTCCTGCCCACACATGTTTAGTTTCAGCAGTATCTATTTCTGGAGGGTTCTTAGGAGCTTTGGGCAGGGTTTCTTCGGATCCCAGATACAATCAGGGCTTTTTGCATTACACGTGAGGAAAATAGCTTCTCTTTGATGGCACTGATGCTGATCACTGGGTCACGAGGGTGTTGGTGGGGGGAGCTTCCACAAGACTGAACCCACTAATATTGATCATGTTAGGTTCAGATTATAAACCTTCACATAAGCCTGAAGGAGAAGCAAGCCCCATGTAGTTTCTTTATCTTGGTCCTTCACCCATGCAGGGATGGGCCTCTTAGGCTCTTAATTTTGCTTAGGTTTTATCTCCTGCCCTTGGCATCCAGAAAGCATTCAGGTGCTAACCAGGCAAGCCCACTCAGGGAGCCAGCACTGGCCTCTGAAGGAAGAATTTGGCGTGAGTGTGCAGCGGATGGCCTTGCCTCAGGGCAGGAGGGTGGAGATTTGATTCTAGTCTTATTTACTGATTGCGAAGAGCCTAATTTATTTTAATCTTTCCTGGCTCCATTTCCTTTCCGTAACACGGATTGTTGGCACACAGCAGTGCTGAGATTGGAATTACTTTCACTTTCATAATCTATCACCCAGGCAGAGTAACTGGTCCCAGCGGTCTGCCCCTTATCCTCAGATCGTCTTTCTTCAAACACCCAGACTCAGTGACCAAACCCAATTCTCAATGTTGTTTTTTCTTTTCTTTCAAGCCTAACTATGGGACAGCTTTACGAGAAGGAAAAAGATGAAGATGGATTCTTGTATGTGGCCTACAGCGGAGAGAACACTTTTGGCTTCTGAGGGCCAGCGCCGGGCTAAGTGCACCGTTCCTGCTTGTGTATCTTGTAAATAGCCGGCCGTTTTCAGTTACCAGACCTCTTCACATAGACCTAAGTAGTGCATTTGTAACTGGATTTATTTCTTAATATATTGGAAGGTTTTGTTTCCTTAGATTAGTAAATTATCATACAGAGTTTTATTTTGAGTTTTCCTTTTTGTGCACTGTCCTCATGGCTGTACCCTCCAGGGAACCTATTCTCTGAGGATCATTATTTAATGAAGATATTTCCATATTAAAGTGAGGTAGGTGGGGTATTAAAGTGAAAGGGAGGGAGATGATACATTTCTTCTGGATTATGTTTGAAGTGTTGAAGATGGCTAAGTATTAAAAGCACCCAAATTAAATCCTTAGCAATCAGACACTTGCTTCACTAGATTTTGCCAACTGCCAATCATGTTGGACTGAGCTAATCTGTTCCTCTTTCTGAAACTATTAAGGTAAATAATTAACAATAAAACTTCCTCTTATAAAGGCATTGCAGTGTGACCATGTCCTTTTTTCGCTTTCTTCCAGAAGGGTCAGAGCAGTGGCTTGGCGTCTGCTAGGCGAGCAGCAGTAGGGTTTGTGGAGCCGCTGGCTGCACAGCCTGGGACAGGAAGCAGTGATCTGTGTCTTAAGAGAGGCTTTTTTTTTTTTAAAGATTTTATTTATTTGACAGAGATCACAAGTAGGCAGAGAGGCAGGCAGAGAGAGAGGAGGAAGCAGGCTCCCCGCCGAGCAGAGAGCCCGATGTGGGGCTCGATCCCAGGACCCTGGGATCATGACCTGAGCCGAAGGCAGAGGCTTTAACCCACTGAGCCACCCAGGCGCCCCGAGAGGCTTTTTTTTTGATGGTTTACATATCCAGATGGTTCCGATACAAATATTATAAAAAGGTAGACCTTGAGAAGTCTTCCCACTATTGTTTCCTGATCCCTAACCTTCTGCCTTATGGGAAACTACTTTTTTTTTTTTTTAAGATTTTATTTATTTATTTGACAGAGAGAGAGATCACAAGTAGGCAGAGAGAGAGGAGGAAGCAGGCTCCCCTCTGAGCAGAGAGCCCGATGCAGGGCTCGATCCCAGGACCCTGGGATCACGACCTGAGCCGAAGGCAGAGGCTTTAACCCACTGAGCCACCCAGGCGCCCCTGGGAAACTACTTTAACTAGTATCTTATTTCTTTCCAGTATTTATTTTTGGAAATATAATTAAATGTGAATATATGTCCTTATTCTATTTTTTTCCTACAAAAGAAAACATGTATTTATGTATGTTGTTTTTTTTTCATTTAACAGTATATCCTGCTGACCTTTCCATATCAGTTCATAGGGAAACTTTTTTTTCATTTTCACAGCTAAATGGTATTGTGCTGTGTGAATATGTTATTACATACCTAGCACCCAGACCCCTATTAATGGCCTTTGGGTTATTTGCAGCCTTTCAGCATTACGTACAGTGTTGGGATGATAACTACACACACGGCCTCTTACTTACATGTACCTGCACGCTTCATGGGGCTGCTCTCCAAGCCCTCTTCCTAGAAATCACAATTAGATTTTCCCATGCCCACGAGTTTCATGATTTGTCACACATAAATATGTAGGCTTGCCAGAACACAAATGAATCTAAAAGGAAAACTTAGTTACTTTCCCAAATCTTCCAAGGATAGCCTGTGTTGGAGGGTAGAGCCCTACATAGAGAATCACTAGGTATCACCCCACGATCAACATGTAGTTTATTTATTTATTTATTTATTTTTAAAGATTTTATTTATTTATTTGACAGAGAGAAATCACAAGCAGGCAGAGAGGCAGGCAGAGAGAGAGGAGGAAGCAGGCTCCCCGCTGAGCAGAAAGCCCGATGCGGGGCTCAAACCCAGGACCTGGGATCATGACCTGAGCCAAAGGCAGCGGCTTAACCCACTGAGCCACCCAGGTGCCCCTCAACATGTAGTTTAAATGACTCCCTTAAACTCTGTCCTGGGGAAGAAAGATCTTTAGCTTTGTCTTCACCAAATTATAGAAGCAACCTGTCAAGGCCATCTACTGAGGTCAGCTCCCCAACTGGGATCAGAGGAATCACTTGTCATTAAGCATCGTGTAGGTCTTTCCCAAACCTGCCCCAACAGAATCTGCGGTCTCTTTGCTGGTAGTCTCAAACTAGAAGCAGGTACAGGCTGACCTCTGAGTGAGCAAGGGAAAGGAAAGGAACAAATTCTGTGTTGAAGGGAATTTGTTTGCGGTGATGTACACCCAACTCGAGCTGGCTTAAGCTCTAAAGAGGCCATTAACTCAGTTAGTTCACTGGCTTCAGACATAGCTCACACCAGAGGTCGATTGATAACATCAAAAGTCTTTCGTCTTGGTTTTGTTTCCCTCTGTGTTGACTTCACTCTCAGGCAGACTCCTCTCATGTGACAGCAGAGTGGCCCCATCAGTGTAGCAAATCCAGTGGAAGAGCATTTCTTCCGAGGGCAGTGTCAAAAGTCCCCTGGAGGACTCCAGCCTCACTCGAATTACCAAAGAGCCCTCACCCTTCCTGCCTGAGACAGGGACTGGTGGGAAGGAAAGGTAAAACCCTCCTTAACAGTATGAACAGAAGAGGATTGTAGAGAAATGGGGGAGGGCTAGCTTTCCAAAAGCGTTTTGATCTGTTTGTTTCACAACCACAAACCCACAAATGCAACGGAACAGACATAGTAGGGGAAGAAGAAAATAAAGCAAGGGTCACCAAAGCCAGCTGTTTTTCTTTCTTTTAAAAGTAATTTTTTAGGGGTGTCTGGCTGGCTCAGTTCGGAGAGCATGTGACTCTTGATCACTGGGTCGTTGAGTCTGAGCCCCATGTTGGGCATAGAGATTACTTAAAAATTTTTTAATTAAAAGATAAATTTTTATAGTTTTTATCAAGCTCTCGTTGGATAGCAGATGATTTATAAATATTATTAAAATTAGTTTTCAAAAGGCACTCATGAGATACAGGTAGTGTAATTCTCATAGCTATCCCGCTACCAAGTGACAGCAAAGACACCAGACTTGAGATTTAAGAGGAAAGACAGTTGGCCGTGTGAAATCATGTCATGGTGTTTGTTTTTTCTATTTACAATGTGCTTCACGCTGCTGGACAGTGAGGCATAAACAGGAATAAAAACATTAGCTCATCCTCCAGAAGCTTACAGTATGGGGGTAAACCTACACATAAACAAATAATTAAAAAGTGATACTAGAAAGTATTCTTGGGTCAGAGGAGGGAGCAGCTGTTATCTATAAAACAAGCTACTGAGGAAAGCAGCCTTATTTGTAATACCAATAAAAATGGATTTGTCCATCTTGCCTTTAGGATGTAGCATCTGAATGAAGGTTTGAAAAGTTAAAAAAAAAAACAAAACCATCTAGTTTCCCCTAATTCCAGTCCTTAAAAGACAGTAGCAAAGTTTTACAGGTGAATTTTATCAAACTATATAAGGACACCTTAACCCATTCTTAAATTTTCAGAGATTAGAAAACGAATGATCACAAATTGATTTTGACACTGAAATCCCAATGCCAAAACTTCGTAAGAGAAAAATTACAGATTGATCTCATTTATCACCACAGAAAAATCCTAAATAAAATACTAATAAATAAAATTTTGCAGTATACTAGAACAGTTATGACCGAGGCACCTGGGTGGCTTAGTCAGTTAAGCTGGGTCATGATCCCAGAGTCCTGGAACCGAGCGCTGCTTTGGGCTTCCTGCTCAGTGGGAAGTCGGCTTCTCCCTCTGACCCTCCCTCCTCCTGTGCTCTCTCACTTACTTACTCACTGTCTCTTAAATAAACAAAACAATCATGATCAGGTAGAATTGAGCTCAAGAATGGGTAGTATATCACCAAAGGCAAGGGAAGGAAGAGCAAAAATGAACTCTTGGGACTTCATCAAGCTAAAAAGCTTTTGCACAGCAAAGGAAACAGTCAACAAAACCAAAGGACACCAACAGAATGGGAGAAGATTTTTTTTTTTTTAAGATTTTATCTATTTATTTGACAGAGATCACAGGTAGGCAGAGTGAGAGGGGGAAGCAGGCTCACCTCTGAGCAGGGAGCCTGATGCCAGGCTTGATCCCAGGACCCTGGGATCATGACCTGAGCCAAAGGCAGAGGCCTTAACCCACTGAGCCACCCAGGCGCCCCTGGGAGAAGATATTTGTACATGACAGGGTAAGTATCCAAAAATCTATAAAGAACTTCTCAAACTCAACACCCAAAGAACAAATAATCCAATCAGGAAATGGGCAGAGGACATGAACAGACATTTCTCTAAATAAGACATCCAAATGGCCAACAGACACATGAAAAAGTGCTCGATATCACTCGGCATCAGGGAAATACAAATCAAAACCACAGTGAGATACCACCTCACACCAGTCAGAATGGCTAAAAGTAACCAGTCAGGAAATGACAGGTGTTGGCAAGGATGCAGAGAAAGAGGAACCCTCCTACACTTACACTGTTACCCTCTTACCCTCTTGCATACACTGGGAATGTAACCTGGCGCAGCCACTCTGGAAAACAGCATGGAGGTTCCTCAAAAAGTTGAAAATAGAGCTACCCTACGACCCAGCAATCGCACTACTGGGTATTTACCCTAAAGATACAAATGTAGTGATCCGAAGGGGCACGTGCACCCTAATGTTTATAGCAGCAATGTCCACAATAGCCAAAGTATGGAACGAGCCCAGATGTCCAACAACAGACGAATGGATAAAGAAGATGTGGTAGGGGTGCCTGGGTGGCTCAGTGGGTTAAAGCCTGTGCCTTTGGCTCAGGTCATGATCTCAGGGTCCTGGGATCGAGCCCCACATTGGGCTCTCTGCTCAGCAGGGAGCTTGCCTCCCCCCCCAACCCCGCTCTCCCTGCCTCTCTGCCTACTTGTGATCTCTGTCAAATAAATAAAATCTTAAAAAAAAAAAAAAAGTCTACCAGGGCTTCTACTCACCGTGTCCTGGCATAAAGCCAGCTAATACAGTAAGAGAGGAAAAGTAAATGAGAGGCATAAAAATGAGACAGGACGACTCAAGTGTTCTTATACGTAGACAGTAATCGTCTATACAGAAAAATCCAAGAGAATCTGTAAAACTTCAAACAAATAAAGTTCAGCACGGTTGCTGTATACCAGAGGAGTTACACATATGGATGCTGTTTCTACATATCATCTGTAACCAATTAGGGAATATAATAGGCAAAAAGATCTCCTCAGTTAGAGCAAACATCTATAAGTGCATAGGAATAAATTTCATACGATATACAAGACCTTCACGGAGAAAATGACAAAACATTATTGAAGGACAAGAAAGAAGACCCAAATGAAAGGAGATACACTAATATTCCCAATATCTGAGGATGAGAACTCCCAGTATTACAAAGCTGCATATTGCCGTAGATTAATCTATCACGCAATTCCAATAAAAATCCCAGCCAGTTTTGTTTTGTTTTGTGGAATCTGACAACTGATGCTAA